GGGATTTATCGTTTCCTCTCAGCATATGTTTCTAGCAGGAACCGCTACAACTCTCTCATTTCTTGAATGGACAATGACAGAACTTATCAGACATCCGAAGGCCATGACGAAACTCCAAGAAGAGATCCGTTCAAGTTCGCAACATGATTCATATGTAACGGAGAAACAAGTTGAGAAGATGAACTATTTACAAGCTGTTATTAAGGAGGCGTTATGGTTGCGTCCTCCGGCTCCACTATTACTTCCCAGAGTATATAGTGAAGATCTCAGGTTAAAGGGGTATGATATTGCTGCAGGAACACAGGTTAAATCATTAGTCACATACTAAACAGACGTTTCAACGATAGCAGAATTTATATCATATAATTATCATTTATAAGAACATATTAAATTATATGGCTAAAACGAAATTAATTATTCTTTTTAATTAATTGAATTGGTAAAAAAATGAAAAACAAAGTACACTCTTTCCTTGGTCAAACACAGAGTATAGTCTTATACTAAATTTTAAAATTATAAAGTATGTGAAACAAATTCATTGGTTAGTTTATAGGTATGTTATCATGAAGTGTCTTTTTCAAATACAAACTTAAATTATAAAATTCTAGTCGGATATATTTAAGGGAGGTTTACTAAAACAACATTGAAAAATGGTTTTTTGACCAAAATGATGCTAATCTTTCATAATTATTCAAACAACCTTCAAAGATTTATTATATCTGTTTTATCTTTATTTTCTTTGAAGACAAAAAACGTATTTACGAAACTGCCATTAATGAGGCAACAAAATTTTCCAGCCAAAAGTGAATAAGTCTACCATTCATGTGATGGTAGATTTATTTGCGATTGGTAGATTTATTAAGTGGTTGGTAGGCTTATTGATGGTTCGCGCAATGGTAGACTTATTTATAGTAGTGGTAGATTTATAATATGTGGTAGACTTACTTGTAGTAATGGTATATTTAATTTTGTGATCGGTAGACTTATTTTTAGTAGTGATAGAGTTAATTTTGTGATTGGTAGACTTATTGATGGTTCGCGCAACGGTAGACTTATTTATAGTGGTGGTAGATTTATAAAATATGGTAGACTTATTTGTAGTAGTGGTAGAGTTAATTTTGTGATTGGTAGACTTATTGATGGTTCGCACAGTCGTAGATTTATTTATAGTAGTGGTAGATTTATTTTTCAGTGATAGACTTATTAGTAGTAGTGTTATAGTTAATTTTGTGATCGGTAGACTTATTGATGGTTCGCGCAATGGTAGACTTATTTATAGTGGTGGTAGATTTATAAAATATGGTAGACTTTTTTTGTAGTAGTAGAGTTAATTTTGTGATCGGTAGACTTATTTCTAATAGTGGTAAAGTTAATTTTGTGATCGGTAGACTTATTAATAGTTCGCGCAATCGTAAACTTATTTACAGTAGTGGTAGATTTATTTTTGAGTAATAGACTTATTAGTAGTTGTGGTAGAGTTATTTTGTGATCGGT